TAGTGACCAAATGAAACTGAAACAAGGAAGTTGATAAAAGTGCAATTAAAGGCTAATCTCTGATAACATGAATAGCAAATGATGTAGGCTGTCTCATAAGCAACTAAAGCTGATTTCCTAGAAGTCTACTTCTCAGAACCTGGCTGGAGTGGCTCTCCTCCACCTCCACGGCATGATAAGCGTCAGCCTCAAAAACTCTCCTGCTGTCCTCCGTAACATCCTTTTATCCTTATGGTCACAGTCCTGGAATTTTGTTCTAGTGTCCAGCCTCAGAATTAAACCTTGATTAGAGGAAATCATTCAGATAATTTCATCCTCCTTCTCACTAATTGGCTTTGGTATAGATGCCACTTGGCACAATTCTGGCAAAAGACATGAAGGAACCCAAGAGGCTTCCAGGAAAGTCCCAGAAATACACAATATAGTACAATTGTTTCTTCCTTTTTATATTGTTAGGTCAATATGTGTTGATGCATTGCACATCCTCAAGAGCATCTACCACTACAATGTCGTGTACAATATCTGTTAGTTAAGTTTGAGTTTTGTTGAAAATTGAAGATCTTTAACAATTTCCTATGAGATAATCTATCCCTTTGATAGATTAGGAAGAATAGAGAGAAGAACTGGAATACGTGAGGTCTAAAGAGTGAGCAGGAATAAGCTAAGGTCTTGTGACTGCTAATGTTTCTACAACACTGAGATGTTTCTCCTTAAATCTAATAAATCCAGACCTAAAGATTCTGAATATGCCTATAAATCTATGGCACACTGACTTCCTTCCAGTCAGCAAGAAGTGTTTCCTTTATAAATGATGCCATTAAAAATAACTTCACATACAAAAGAATGGATAAAGACCTAAATACAAGAACAAAAATAACAAAATTCTTAGAAGAAAACATAATGCACTATCAAAAATATAAGTGACAAAAAGCAGAATAGATAAACTCCATAAAAATTTTTTTAAACAAACTTTTGTTATCAAAGGACTGTATCACCAAATTAAGTGGCGATTGGGAGAAAAAAAATTGGGAATCATACAGCTGATAGTAGTTAATATCTAGAATACATAAAGAATTCCTATAAATTAACAACAAAAGACAGTTAATGTTAATTTGAAAAAACTTTTTATTCACATTTCATAAGCCATCTGAAGCTGGGATTTATCTTTTAAAATATGGGAAAAGAAGGATTCTAGTGCTTTTTCTGTATCAAATAGCCACTCCTCCCAGGTACAATAACTTAATAGAGCTTCCAAGTTTGTGCCAAAGGAGTCAGGGGTCCTAGGAACCCTTAACCATTGACTCTCAGCTTTGAGAAGCCTTCAGAGTTTACCAAAGTTGGTCCTCCAAATATTGTTATATTTCCATGTGCCAAGAACTGAAATAAGACCGGCAGCACAAGGCTACAGAATAAAATTCACACTGCTTCCTTGAGGATTCAAGTCCCTCCACATCTTTTACACCTTTATATGACTGACCATGTCACCCCTGCTCTCGATCACAGACTCTCCATTCCAGCGAACTAATGCACTTTCACTCTCACTCAAAGACCTCTTGACTTGAGGACTCAGAGCTATGCTTTTTCTATGCTGTCTCTTACGCATGTTACAAAAAAACAAAACCAAACAAAACCTACCCAAAGTAACCTCTACCCCTTATAAACTTCTGTATTACTTAATGAAAAACACACACTATACTTGAGCCACTTGGCCTGCACATATTTACATATTGCACATTATTTTTACATTAGCATGTCTTGTCTCTCCAACTATAACACAAATAATCTCTCTGAAGGAAACAGACAGGAATATTCCTCACAACAAATTACTCATCCTAAGACTATTTATTGACATCAATACCTCTTCCTATTCGCCTGTCTTCCAATATCTATTAATGTTCTATCTTGTTGCTTCTCTGAAGATTGAGTGCAATACAGCGAAAGATCTGTTGGGGCGGGGGTTGTGGTGGTTTTGGTTTGTTTTTGTTTTTTGGGTTTTTTTTTTCCTATCCCAAAAGAATTCTGGTCTGCTGTACGTAAAACACTGTGTTAGATGTAAGGCAACTCACAGAAGAAAAAGCAAAAGACGAGAGAGACCAGCATTAATTAAATAAGGTAAGGATGCTTTTCTAATCTAAACCTTCTACAGGTAACAGAGAAGCTAAGTGGTAGAGAAAATCTCTGCATGGAGGAAGTATACCCAGAGAGGGAGATATCTGTCATTACTTCTCTCTTAGAACATTTACTACACAAATTCTTAAGGCTATAATAGGAATCAGGGAAGAACTGGGTATTTTTAAACTCAAATCACCAAGAAAATCAAAGCATTTACAAGTTTAATCATAAAATGGATGACTTTTGCATAATTGTCTAAGCTCATCCTTTTCCCCTTGGCTGGATAAACAAGACTTAGCTAAGCAGTTCCATCGGAGGCTACTTAGGTTCTCACGTTTCTGGAACTCTCTCTCTGTGTGTGTGTGTGTGTGTGTGTGTGTGTGTGAGATTATTGTTGTTGTTGCCAGGTGGAGACGTGACCGCTGTGATATGGCTCAACTAGGGCACTGTTAGAATCTGCTGGATGGTCTGGGGAACGATACCGGTCAACTTCACGCTCCCTCTGTGTGCACTATTGCTCTCCCCCCTGCCTTCCGCCGTCCACTCACCACCTCCCTAAATTCTCTCACACCCTGTCTAGATGCCTACAGCACAGAGAGACACACCCTGTGGCAGGTTCCTGTAGTTCAGTTTCTTGGTCTGTCAATAAGCACAGAAGTGTGAGCATTAAGTTTTCTAATGTTGCCAGGTTCTAACAGATATAGGGACCATACTCATATAGGAGGCATTGATAAGCTCCACATTTTGAGGAGGAAGCATTTAAATTTAGTGGGTTTTCCTCTCAAGTCAAGTATTATAGTCCTGTTTTTTTTAAAAAAAATTACAACCCAATGAGTCTATGGGAAAGAATATAGATTAGACCAAACAATACTTTATTTCGATGGCAGGGTAACTGAGAGGAACTCTCCAGGTAACTGTAAGTTCTATACCACTAAGAGTTCTGGAGGCAACTCCATTCAATCTACTGGTCACAGAGCACTGCTTGGAGTCCAGGTGAGCCCAGGCTGGAGGTCGGGTTCTAGAGGACGGAACCGAGGGAAGGAGGCTGGATCAGGCTCTGAAAGTTCTTGGGAGATTCTTAAGGAAATGAGGTCACCTGGTAGATGTGTTATTGGTGTTAGGGGCCACTGAGTTATGACTCTCAGTAACCCTACAAACAACAGATTTGAAATTTGCCCTGTCCTGCATGGGCCTTCCCATCTCTGAAATGCTTGAGTCCACTGGTCCAGTCACGAGTCACCCCATCTCCTTGAGAGTCTGCCTCAGTCTCTCTGACCCTCCACTTTCCCCAGTAGGATGTCTTCTCCAAGGACTGGCCCATCTTTACAATATGCCCAAAGTATATGAGATGATATTTTACCCTCTTGCTCTCTAAAAGCATCCTGGTCTCACCTCATCCAAAATAGACTCATTTATTTTACTTATTTGTTCTTTCTGCAATCCATGGGATATTTCGTACCTTCCCCCAACACTACAATTCAAATTTGTGGCAGAATCTCACCTGGACAAATTTGTTGTTGTGTAATGCAGAGTCAGAAACAATCCATAGCTGACCGTCCAGCAGTTTTTCAGAGGCAGTTAACTGCATGAAGGGAGTCTGCCCGTCTTTCTCCCATCAAGCAGCTAGTGGCCTTGAACCACGTGTCTTTGGAATTTTAACACAGCTTCTTACCACTAGGCCACCAGATCTCCCTGGTATGTCTCTTATATATGAGTCTGAACTTTCATGGGAATCAGGACTCCACTTGCATGATTATTTATCTGATGTATGACAAAATGTGATTCTCTAATTTGCCTATGATATCAAGCCACCTCTTTTTTTAAATGTTGTTATTATTATTTGTGTGTGTGTGTGTGTGTGTGTGTGTGTGTGTGTGTGTACTGTCAAATCAGATCTGACTGGTACAGGAGGAGATTGTCCCTCCTTCTCCAGCAGAGCATCTGGTGGATTTGAACCACGGACCTCTGGGATTGCAGTGCAGCTTCTTGCCACTAGGCCACCAGAGCTCTCTCAAGCCACTTCTTTTTTTTTTTTTTTATTTTAACTGGAGTCAATTGATTATTGCTCACAGTAAGCCTCCAGTACTCAAAGACTCATGTGCAAACTGCAGTACTTTCCATTTGAGCCAATGATATTTTAGGCCCTAAAGTCTCTGAAAAGTATACATATTTATACATATATATATACACAAACACACACACGTATACATATATACATACATATACATATCTACACACACATACATACTTACTTACCTACCTACCTACCAACTAATCAACCAAGCTAAGGAAGTGACCTTTGGCACAGAGTTCAAATCTACCAGCTGCTCCATGGAGGATGGGCAATCTTACCCCATGTAATTTACTGTCTCTGAAAACCAGCTACAGGGTCGGCTACACAACAAGAAGGAATTAAGTGTCCAGACTTTGTCTCTGTGATATGTCCAGCTTTATAGCTCAATTCCCTAGATCACTAGCATTCTCTTTCCCACGCTTCACTTACTGTATGTGAAGAAGGGTTCATGTAAATTCTCATGAAAGGAAACTGATGGGTTTAATCTGCTCCCTTTTTTCTTAATATTCAGTCTCTTTGATAGTGTGGTTGTTGAGCTTTTCTTCTACTTAAAACTAGCTGGGAGGGGGCAGGGGGGTAATTTCATTTGTTGTGTCTCATGAATGTGTATTTTTATTTGGATCTGTGTCATTTTAATTTGTCTCAGTATCTCACAATTTTTTACAAAAATAGTTCAAAGAGTTTAAACAAGAACCAACCCCCATGATACTGCTTACTCTCATGTTCTCTGTGCTATAACAGGAAACGCATTTCTGACACTTTTAAAATGAGCAATCACACGTATAATCAACTTGGTTAAAACTTCCTTCCTGGTAACTGCAACACTTCCTCTGCATCTGGATACCGAGGGAGACCCAGAAAAGCGGAAGAGTTTATAGGCGCACAGGGTAGGTCTGAATTTGTTTTGTTTTCAAAAATTAAACAAATGATTCTTCAGCATCATCACTTCCACTGCTTTATCAGGTATTACTTCCTTCTAATTTTTTATGTTGTTCTTTGTTGGCTCTGACTTGAAACAGTGACACTTCCTTCTCAGCTAGAATATTTTTATCTGAACAGTTGTTGGTTCTTTAGATGATACTGCCTCCGAACGTCTCATTGTCCTGTCCAAGCTCTGTGTGTGTGGATGTCCACATGGCTCTGGAGACAGTTCTGCAGGTGCATCAGCTCTTTGTTTTTGTTTGGCAGGAAGGGGGAGGGTAAGTGAACCTGTGCCAGCAGGCTCCCTATTCTTAGAAGTGTGTGTTTAGAGATTAGTGTACTTGCAAGATTTCTAACGACTTACAAGGAGAAAACTTCCTAGCCTCTACCATGAAGGCAAGCAGTGAGTAGTCAGCCTGTTTTCTTCTGTATCTAAACCCTTCTACATTTATTTAGTATCATTGAGGCAGAAGTTAATGATGTACCATGGCACAGTGTCTAAATTTGGGTACGTTATTTTATTACAAATCAGTGTCAATAGTGATGTATCTTACAACTGTCTTGTCAGTCATTCTCTAATGTAACAAAAGGTCAATGTTTTAAGTTGCAAGAGACAGTTCTCTAGTCTAATTGGTTTTCTCTACTTTGTAAGTGTATCTTCATGGTATTTAAAAGATTAAATTGTATTAAAATCAAGTTTATCAAAGTTTAAGTTTAGCTCTCACAAAGCAAGTTTAAGACAATACTTGAACATAATTCCAATGAAACCTGTCTTCCTTATCTTTTTAATCAGACTCTCCTTTCATATATGTATCTTAAATGCTCTAATTTCTTCAGGAAATAATTATGAGTTTCTCCAACTAAACATTAAGTAATTGAATAGTAGACGTCAGTTTCTGAAATTCAGTAAAATTCTTTCAATAGTTGATTTTTTATTTAGAATATGTCTTAAAGTGCTGTGATACTAAATATAGTCATATGCCACTAAAATCCATAGAAGAGTCTATGAATATGTATATAAGTGTAGTCTTTATCTAATGTCAGTTGATCAAATATTTATTTTACGTGTGTGTGTGTGTGTGTAACTAAAAACACTGAGGAAAACCTTTCCAGATAATAAAGTTATCCTTAACCTAATGCCACAATAATAATTATGTTTTGATGCAAATTGCAAAGTAGCTGCATTAGTTATTAAAAGTCATTGTGTGCACCTCAAATTTTTAACATGATACACTCTCCAGAGGTTAAAACCATGAATATATAGGTGGTTGGACACCGTCTGATTGGGCAGCACATGACTGAAAACAAAAATATTTCTATTTCAACGTTAATTTTTTTTGCATTTCATAGTATTTGACAGATTTCTAACTATAGCATGTCACATTTATATGTTTAAATTATTTATTCGTGGTAGATACTCATTAGATATTTGTGGAAGGAGTAGTCAGGTTAGTGAGAAAAATTTGTGAAATCTTGGTATGGTGATGAAACTATTAAGAGTGAAAAAGAAGTGAAATAATCAGGGTCTGTCTATACAGATGTCACTGGAGTCATAAATGTTACCACCTATCTTCAGTCTCCTCCATTCTGTACAGTGGAGGTAGATCAAATTACTTAATACAAAGTCAAAATACCTAACCGTTCATATAAGGAGAACAGCAAAACTAACAATCAAACCCAATGCCATCAAGTCAATTCCAGCTAAAAAGTAACCCTGTAATAGGAGAGAGGAGGACAGCCCCTTGGAGCTTAAGGCTGTAAATTTGTACAGAAGCAGACTGAGAAATCCTTCTCCCATGAAGCTGCTGGTGGGTTCAAACCACCACCCTTTCAGGAAGCAGCTGAGTACTTAACCACCTGAACCACTGGGGCTGCTTAGGAGAGCACAGCCTTAAATCATTTCTCTAAGAGACTGTCCTAATACAGCAGTGAAAGAATTAATTTTTAAATTATTCAAAAATAATATCTATCTGTAAACGCTCTAGGTTAAAAACTTTGTTCATTTGGTTTTGTTGTTTTTATGAATGGTATGACAAACTTTCCTAATTTGAAAGGGGAGGGGAGAGTGAAAAGACAAGAGAGAAAGAGGAAGTGGATTAGGGAGTAGATCCAGGACCCAGACAGTTTGAAAATAAAGAAGTTGAAGGAAGGTTGGTAATGTGGGTAGGTCCCAAAGGGAAGTGTAAGACCAAACAAAAAGGAAGTCAAAGGCATGCTTCCAAAAAGAGTCTTTCTGTGTATCACTTTGCACCTTGTAAACTAGGACTGGTCTAGGATACTCTGCTCATCTCTGTGTTTTGTGTGCTTAGCAAGCCCAACTATTACAAGTCACATTTGTTATCAAGTACTGTGCTAAATGAATGCTTCACACATATTATCTTAATTTCTAGTATGATAACTTTCAAACATATAGAATAGTAGAGGGAGCTCTGGGGGCCTGCCTAGAGGTAAGGAACTGCACTGCAATCTTGAAGGCACACAGCTCAATTCATCAGCTGCTCCACAGGAGAAAAACAGGAGTTCTCCTCCTGTGTGATTAAATTACCACTGAAAACCCACTGGAGGGTCAGCTATGGATCAGTTTCGACTCTACGGTAAACAACATCAATTAAAAAGTAGCAAGAATAATCGAAGATCTCTATACATAAAGTAGTACTGAATTATCATTCCACACTCTGAGGTCTTGCTAAAACACATTTGACAAATGAGAACAGGCTTAGACTATTTAACCTTCCCATCACTCACACACTAAGTGGACCAGCATTCATAGGTCCCAAAGTTCAAAGTACAGGTCATTAAGAATCTGTACACACCATGAAATACCTGCTTTCTGATGTGTCTGTTCGAAGGCTCTGAGCCAGTCATCCACAGACTAATCATGGCCAATCAGATGAAAAAAAATAAACTCTATAATTTGTAAAACAGGGATGAAATGAAGCCATAATGGGATGGAGGGAAAAAATTACAGGTCAACCTACTAGAAACTTGATTTCTGTTTTAGAGAACAAGGACAATGTGTGCATTGCATAACCAGATCTCCTAATCAGCAGTTTTTTAGGATGGTTTAGAGATATATCCCTCTCCACAGAACTAATCATCTCCAGCATCAGGACCCTGAATGGGCTCATTACACCTCTTCCAAGCCTTCTAGTCCCTGATTCTGACCCACAGTATTTCCCCTTCTGGTTACTTGACTTTATTCAAACTGTTAACATTTAAGTCTGCTCCAAATTTGCCTCATTGGCCAGGGCTGAACCAATATGAATTCTTTAAAAACGTAGTCTAGTCCCTTAGTCTGGCCCAGAAATCCTCTATACTGTTTACTCCTACCATTCAGTAACAAGTAGTAATGAGGCCCTGGTTTCTCCTTGCTCCCAGGTCACATAAGGCATGGATTTGGAGGGCTGTGAACCGCCCGTGGTTCTAAGAGCGGACAACTGCCGCAGGCGGCGAAGGATGAAGCCCCGCAGCACGGCGGTCTGCCTGTCCTCCATGGAGCTCATCCCCATCGAGTTCGTGCTGCCCACCAGCCAGCGCAACAGCAAGACCCCAGAGACCGTGCTGCTGCACGTGGCCGGTCACGGCAACGTGGAGCAGATGAAGGCGCAAGTGTGGCTGCGGGCACTGGAGACAAGCGTGGCAGCTGACTTCTACCACCGGCTGGGTCCGGATCACTTTCTCCTGCTCTATCAGAAAAAGGGGCAATGGTACGAGATCTACGACAGGTACCAGGTGGTGCAGACGCTGGACTGCCTGCGATACTGGAAGGCGTTGCACCGCAGCCAAGGCCAGATCCACGTGGTGCAGCGGCGCGAGCCCTCGGAGGAGACGCTGGCCTTCCAGCAGCAGCTCACGGCGCTGATTGGCTACGACGTCACTGACGTCAGCAACGTGCACGACGACGAGCTGGAATTCACGCGGCGCCGCCTCATGACGCCACGCATGGCGGAGGTGGCAGGCCGAGACCCCCAGCTGTACGCCATGCACCCCTGGGTGACCTCCAAGCCCCTCCCCGAGTACCTACTGAAGAAGATCGCCAACAACTGCATCTTCATCGTCATCCACCGCAGCACCACTAGCCAGATGGTCAAGGTCTCGGCCGATGACACCCCGGCCGCCATCCTGCACAGCTTCTTCACCAAGATGGCCAAGAAGAAGTCCCTGATGGACATCCCGGAGAGCCAGAGCGAGCAGGATTTCGTGCTGCGGGTGTGCGGCCGGGATGAATACCTGGTGGGTGACACGCCCATCAAGAACTTCCAGTGGGTGCGCCATTGCCTCAAGAATGGGGAGGAGATCCACCTGGTGCTCGACACACCCCCGGACCCGGCCCTGGACGAGGTGCGCAAGGAGGAGTGGCCGCTGGTGGACGACTGTACGGGCGTCACCGGCTACCACGAGCAGCTGACCATCCACGGCAAGGACCACGAGAGCGTGTTCACCGTGTCACTGTGGGACTGCGACCGCAAGTTCCGGGTGAAGATCCGAGGCATCGACATCCCGGTTTTGCCCCGGAACGCGGAGCTCACCGTCTTCGTGGAGGCCAACATTCAGCACGGGCAGCAAGTCCTTTGCCAGAGGAGGACCAGCCCCAAACCCTTCACCGAAGAGGTGCTCTGGAACGTGTGGCTCGAGTTCAGTATCAAAATCAAAGACCTGCCCAAGGGCGCGCTGCTGAACCTGCAGATCTACTGCGGCAAAGCCCCCGCGCTGTCTGCCAAGGCCTCGGCCGAGATGGCCGGGTCCGAGCCCAGAGGCAAAGCTCAGCTTCTCTACTACGTGAACCTGCTGCTCATAGACCATCGCTTCCTCCTGCGCCACGGGGAGTACGTGCTGCACATGTGGCAGATATCGGGGAAGGGCGAAGACCAAGGGAGCTTCAACGCCGACAAGCTCACCTCCGCCACCAACCCAGACAAGGAGAACTCCATGTCCATCTCCATCCTCCTGGACGATTACTGCCACCCAATCGCGCTGCCAAAGCATCGGCCCACCCCGGACCCAGAAGGGGACCGAGTTCGTGCAGAAATGCCCAACCAGCTTCGAAAGCAACTCGAGGCCATCATAGCCACCGATCCGCTGAACCCGCTCACGGCAGAGGACAAGGAATTGCTCTGGCACTTTCGATACGAAAGCCTTAAGCATCCCAAAGCGTATCCTAAGCTGTTTAGTTCTGTCAAGTGGGGGCAACAAGACATTGTGGCCAAAACCTACCAGTTGTTAGCCAGAAGGGAGGTCTGGGATCAGAGCACTCTAGATGTTGGGTTAACAATGCAGCTCCTGGATTGCAACTTTTCAGATGAAAATGTGCGAGCCATTGCGGTTCAGAAACTCGAGAGCTTGGAGGATGATGATGTTCTGCATTATCTTTTGCAGCTGGTCCAGGTAGGGTTTGGAGGTTGATGTCGGCAGAGCTTTCTTCTTGGGGGCTGTTTTTTGGATTAACACAGGCACACATTCATGTGCTAGCAAATGCCCTGTATCCAGAGCTTCGTGGTCACAGTAGTTCTAATGAAACCACAACAAGTAGTGAACTGTTCCAAGGTCTCTTCTTGTTTTTAACCATCATTGAGAGTTTGCTGACAAGCTTTTACAAGACATGAGTTCTATATGTTGTAGGAGAATTGGCCCTTTGGGAATACCTTGTTCTTTTTTATTAATGTAGTTAGGTGCATCCAGGCAGCTTGACTTGTAGACCCCATGTGACAGTGTAAAACTACCCGGTGAGGTTTACAAGGCTGTGAACTTTATGAGAGGGCATCTCCAAGTCTTTTCTCCCTCATAGCCACTGGGTGGGTTCAAACCACCAACCTTTCTGTTAGCAGCCATATGCTTAATTGTTGCACCATCAAAACCAAAAAACGGGATGGCGGAGCTCACTGCCATTGAGTCAAGCCTGACTCACAGGAACACTATTGCACATTTTAATTGCCATGGAGTCAGAACTCAGAGCTGACCTTCCAGTGGGTTTTCAGAGGCTTTAAATCACAGGAGACGTGAGACTCATCTTTGTCCTGTGAGCCATTGATGAATTCAGATGGTCCAAGAGGCACCAGCTGTGGGTTAGCGGAAGTCCCTACAGACAACATCATCAGAGTGTCTAACCCTTTTATAGTGTGGTGATTCTGAATCATCAAGTTGGAACTGACCCACAGCTGACCCTCCAGCAGGTTTTCAGAGGCAGTAAATCACACAGGAGCTTACCCACATTCTTTCAGTGGGACAGCTGGTGGATTCAAACCACATGACTTTGAGTTGATAGAGCAACTTCCTACCCATTCGGCCACCTGCACTCTTTAACCTCGATACTACAGAGTAAAACTGGCCCACAGTGTTCAAGATTGTAAATCTTCATGGAATTGACTGTCACCTTTCTCCCCTGGAGTAGCTGATGCCTTTGACTCACCAGCCTTTTGATCAGCGAAGTAGTCTGACAGCTGTGTCCTCAGTGCTCTTCCTGCGCTACCAAGGTTCCTTATATGAACAGTAGGTACATGACTGATCGTGGGAGCTCAGGTGGCGTCGTACATAATAAATTGGGCTGATAACCCAGAAGTTGGCAATTTAAATCCACCAGCTACTCCACAGGAGAAAGATGGACAGACTCCTATCGTAAAGATTTATAGCCTAGAAACCTAATGCAAGGTTACTAAGAGCTTGTCCTTTTTATATGACTTAGTTTCCTTGTGCCGGAGTTCTAAATTATTTACATGCTTTTGTTAACTCCCAGCTATTCTGATAGTGGTCAAACTCACATTTGCATTTTACCATATGCAAACTGAGAGACAAAGAGGTTAAGGTCACCTGCTTTGGAAGAAGAAGACCAACTCCAGGAGGTCAGACTTTGGGGCCTGGTCATTTGGATTAGCAGAGCTCCCTTCCAGGGCTTGCACATTTTACTGTCTCCCAATATCCTATTTCAGTTGAGCAACAGGATAGTATGAACTAAACAGAAAAGGTTTTATTGTCTGAATTTACCAACATTCATAAGACTAAGGTCTTAAAGTTACATAAAATCCTAAAGGCCCCTTTCTTAAACTGGTAGTATATATCTACTCGTTCTCATACTATCCCTGAGGTCTGGAATGGCTAAGTGATTTGCCTACTGTTTAACTAGGAAGTTAAAAAAAGAGGAACCATTCTCTTGTTCATTATAACAGTTCTTAAATGACACCGTTTAACATGGAAGAGGAAGTAAAAGAATTGGAATAGAAATGCTATTTTTGAGCACAGATGCGTTCATTCATTAACTCAAAAATAAGTGTCAAGTGTTTCCCATGTTCTGAATACTGGATATGGAGTGGTGATCAAACGGGGCCCCTCGGCCCCTCATGTGGTTTGTGGCCCTGTGGAGAAAACAGACATTACGTAAGTACACCCACAAACAGAGATAAAGGAGTACAGCCACAGACAAACTGACATTGTTGGGAGAAACCACAGAGTATTAGGATAAATAGGAGGGGTCCAGGGATGCCTAATATAAATGAATGAAGCCAGGAACAGTTCTGAGTGGGTGATTTTTTTTACCTGATTAGTCAGCCTAAGGGTTAAGACAGTAAGTCGTCTAATGGTTAGCTATATTTCTACCAGTCTCTGAAGCTCTTTTGGATTAGCAGAGCCCCTTTAAAAGGCTTGTTCATTTTACTGCCTCCCAATATCCTATTTCAATTCAGCATCAGGTTGGTATGAACAAGACAGATAAAGTTTTACTCTTTTTATTTACCAAAATTCCTAAGATTATATATATTTTTATAAAACCCTAACAAGCATTTTCTATAATCTTAACTCCAAATTCTTACATTCACAGTATAACAGGTTGTATTCCATCATCAAGTGTTTATTTTCGTCTTTCTACTAGTTCAGATACTGGGATAACACTAATGAATTCTAAAATAATCAAACCACCTTCTGTTTTCTAGCTCCCCATAACAAAGAGAACATAAAGCACACTTGCCTGAGATCTGTGCTAAACTCAAAGGTTACCAGAGAGTATTTTTTGTTGCCTTTTTCCCCCCCACAAGTAAGCATTGAAGAATCGGAAAAATGAATAATGCTTTTCTTGATTTAAGGCCCTCTGATAGTGCAGTATATTCCATGTTGTGCTGGCAACCGAAAGGACAGAGGTTTGAATCTACCATCTGCTCTGGAGGAAAAACAAGAAATGTCTCCTATCAAGATTTACACTCAGTGAAGTGTTGCTATGAACTGGGTTCAACTCAAGGACAGTCAGGCTTCTTGATAAGTTTTTAAAGAAGTACACTGATTCCAACTCATAGCAAGCCTGTCTGAGAGACTAGAACTGCTCAATAGGGTTGTTAAGGCTCTAAGTCGTTTCAGAAGACAACTGTCTCATCTTGCTCTTACAGGGTGGGTTACTGGGTATTACCCTTCAGGTTAATAGCCCAGCTCTTAACCCATTGTGCCCCCAGAGCTCCCATGCTTTACAGAAAGAAGTCAGTAAGTAATATTAGCAGTTGGCTTTGTAAGGGAGCTCTGGTGGCCTAGTGGCAAGAAGCTGCGCTGCAATCCCAGAGGTTCGTGGTTTTAATCCACCAAATGCTCTACTGGAGAAGGAGGGGCAATCTCCTCCTGTAACAGTCAGATCCGATTTGACAGTACACACACACACAAATAATAAAATTTAAAAAAAACCAAACAGTTGACTTTGTGGTTATAAATTTGAAGAATAGCATTCCTTTATCAAACTAGTTGAGACATTTTCAGACATGGTTAAATGACTCATTCCTGATTCCACTGGTCTCCTACTTGTGATCTGCACATTGACTTCACAGAAGTTAAACACCAAAAAGGTCATAAAAACTCACTGTTGGATTAGAAATTTCAGTACCACAATTAAGTATGTGAACCAACAAAGAATAAATAAACCTTTTGCTGCTAAAAAAAAAAAAGAAATTTATAGCGGGTGTGAAGTAATTCATACCAGTGGCTAAGTGACCACATTCTTAGAACTAAGATCACAGATGCATCAGCAATGGCATTTACTTGATCACACTCAGGAAAAACATCTTTGAAAGACTTCATATAATTGAAACATTCTCTTTTTACTGTGTGACACTGAGTCCATTTCACCTCATAGCCATCCTTATTATGGAATAGAACTGCTCGGACATTTCCAGGCTTTCTTCTTTCAAGGAGTGGATTGCAAGGTCCAGATTGTGGATTTAAACTGCTGATAGTTTTGCTTTCAGCTGAGTGCTTAACCAGTAAATCACCATCAAGTCACTATAGGTGATTTCCAGAATGGAAACCTAGAGAAAGCCTTGAAAATTATGTTATAAATCCCACAGACCCACAATTTGAAAGATGTGATAAAAGCCATTAGATTATACATGTAGAGACTGATTGTCATGATTTACGTATTTTTACCACAATAAAAGGGGGGGAAAAACAATAAAAACAATTCACAGGTCCTAAGGGAGCTCTGGTGGCCCTAGTAGTAAAAAGCTGCACTACAATCCCCAAACCACTTGGTTTGAACCCACTAGCTGCTCCTCCATGTCATTTACTGCCTCTGAAAACCCACTCGAGGGTCAGTTATTAGTTAGTTCCAACTGGATGGCGTATAACAACAACAAAAGTATAAAGTGTAACAGGAATCTCTCCTGCTTCATGGGGAAGAAAATAGACCACTTTTTATTTGTAAAGAAAATTCTCTGAAATATTTTACAGGTTTGTTTTTTTTCCCTTAACTTGAATGTGTCTGTATCTGTTTCTGGCATCTATATCTTTATAACTGCATTGAAATAGTCTAAATATTAGCAATGGTGCCCTAATTTGTTAGTCTTGCTGCTTTTAAAATTGTAAACTATTTAAGGCTTGTATAAAAATACAGAAAATAATATAATACTTAAGTGCCTACCAAGATTCAGTTATTTTTCACATGTAGGCTGCTCTGGTGACCTTGCACTGCCAACCCAAAGGCAGGCAGTTCAAATCCACCAGCTGCTCTGAAGGAGGAAGAAGGACAGTCTCTTCCTGTGAGATTTATATCTGGAAGGTCAGTTATGAGTCAAATCCACCTCAATGCCAATAAATTGAATTCCTCTTCAGTAACTGTGCTGTTTCCTAAGTAAATTTTCTTTACTTAGAAATGATACGATATCAAATGATATGAAGCTACTATTGAATGCTAAAAAAAACCCCCAAAAAAACAAAAAACCAAGAGCAAAAATGAGTTGTATTTGAATCAACAGCACCTAACAACAACAGCGGAAGCATAGAAAATCTGAGATTTTCAGACATAAAGCTCTGTATAGCACAAAGCATAGTGAGAGGTAGTGATTTGTATGTGAGGATTAAATCTAGGCTTCCTGTTTACCTGCATTAGAGGCAGCTCAGTGACTTCCTTGTGAGATGAAAAATACCTATCTTGATCAGAAGGGAAGCTATGATATTTTTAGAACTTCAGTTTAAAAATATTTTTCTCTTATCCATTTTCTCTTACCATCACTTTTATAGATGTGTTATAGCCATCATCATCTTTCCTCTCTACCCTTCCAATATATCTAATAAACCCTTAATTTGAACAAAAGCCTCTTTACTTTTAAGGTTATCAAAAGCACATCTATGACTGTAAGTCAAAAATTCTGTTTTCTAATCCCATTTCTGTAATCACTACTCTTTCACTTAAAGAAAATGGTTTGCTGTTACCCTAAGTATCCTAGAAAAAAAAGGTAATTAAATTTAAATAATGAGATTCTTATACCTTAGCCATAGAAATCCATAGAAATCAACCAAGTAGAGTGGCTTCCTCTTCCACCATTTACTTTCCCTCTGTTTACCAGCACAGAATGCAGCCCTACCTATGTCAATATGTTTTTCCTTCAGGCTGTGAAATTTGAACCCTATCACGACAGCGCCCTTGCCAGATTTCTCCTGAAGCACGGCTTAAGAGTAAGTGTGTGCATTTTTACAACAGTTTGGCATTTCAAAAGTGAGAATGACTGATAGACCTAGAGTGGCAGTCATAATAATTCAACCTTCTTGTTCCCACTCTTAGAACAAGAGAATTGGTCACTTCTTATTTTGGTTCTTGAGGAGTGAGATAGCCCAGTCCAGGCACTATCAGCAGAGATTCGCTGTGATCCTGGAAGCCTATCTGAGGGGCTGTGGCACCGCCATGCTGCACGACTTCACACAGCAAGTGCAGGTGATCGAGATGTTACAGAAAGTCACCATCGATATTAAGTCACTCTCTGCTGAAAAGTATGATGTCAGCTCCCAAGGTATAGTTCCTACCTCTCTTTGGTTCTCTATCCAAGTGCTGGTAGCTTCAAATGTTGTTCTATGACTCTGTTCCCTCCAAAAGACAAGTTACATCTCCCTAAGGCCATTTAGAACACATTTCTAAAATTTCCTGTCTGCATGCGGTGAGCATATTAAAAATTCTCCTCTGTATATTAATAATTTTATGTATGCGTTTTTACTGTTGAGTCTGTAATAATACATATATAAAACTCTTTGGAGAAATGTTTAATGTTTTGCAGATATAAAGTGGGTTCTTTCTGAAAAATAACTGAACCAAAACCAACAAGATTTGGTCTTTCCAAATCAGTATATTTTTCTTCTCATCTTTGACTATATGCTTTTAATTTTTGGCTTTAAAAGTTATGAATTTTTAAGAAGTTATTTTAATTTTTTCTGTGTGCACAAATATGTGTGATATAGATATTATCATCCCTTTTCTGACTCTACTTCCAATATCCTCCTCTTGTCCTTACTCTAGGAAATTTTATATCTGTGCATTCCCATAGTTGCTTTTATATTTTTAAATTGTTCATTTTTATTTGAGTGGAAATTTACAAAGAAAAGAGTTTTCTGTCTCGCAAGTCCTGCACAATCCATGTACTGTAATACGTTCTTCTCACTGCCTCCCTGTGGCTCCTGTTCCCTTTCTGCCTTCTTAGTTTTATTGTTGGGCAAATGCTCCCCTTTTGATCATGAATGGGTAATTGTTCAAAGGAGGGCATTCCTCCTTAGTGCTATTGATCACTTAGAGACCTGTCTATTATTTAGATGTAAGTTGAGCCACATTGGACATGATTTCAGTTCCAGGTTTGTGTGACTAAGGATCATAGTTTTAAGGCATTCCACCAGTCTTTCTAACAGACCAGCAAGCCGGTGTTACTACATTTATATACTTAGTATATATTATCATGTGTAACCTGCGTTTGTGTCTCTTATAAAATGTATTTGCAATGAATAAGTCATTGATTTTACAAAATTCAATCATTCTATCTCCA